GTGAGCTGGAACGGGAAAACCAGGTTAACCAGTTCAGCAACTAGCTGCATGAACTCCAACACATCTGTGCGAGTGTTTGCTTTAGAGGCATAATAAAGTGCTCAATGAGACTATGTGCTTATTGGAATGCGCGTGCAAACCCTGTGATCTGTGCATCTGTAAACTTGCTACTGTTGGTTTCTTTTTCCTTTCTGAAAGCCTGGACGGGCCCCTTCTTTACTCCGTTTGCGTAGTCTTTGGAGCCAGGCAGTCTAGCTCCTCATGGAGACAACAGTCAAGGAAAGCCTTGTGAAAACTTCCAGGTCCAAAGTGCATTACAGGAGAGCAGGTCCTAGGGATTGCACATCAAGTTTACTTTATGTATTTGTTTTATTTACATGTATTTATAACCCGCCTATAATTGCCGAGGCCTTCCTAGGTGGCTTACAATGCATAAAACATATTAACAGAATAAAACACATTAAAACATAACAAATTAAACATCTATAAAATTAATTTAAAAGGGCAACAGCTTGCAGGTTAAATGTTAAAAGTTTAGTTGAGGTTGAGGTTAGTTCACTTCATGCCCAAGAGCCATTGCACGATGTTAGAAGTGGAGTACACAAAACTCCCCGAAGAAGGATTTTCCATGCCCCTTTATTGACAGAAAAGGGGGAAGCATTTTAAGCCTTCTGAACTGAGCTTTACAGGAAACTTGGAGGAAAATGGGAACAGTGACTGATTACAAGTATGTCTGACAGTTACAAAAACAGAAGAAGGTTCAGAGGACCACAAGAACCCGCAATGCAGCACTGATAGGGGAAAAGGAATTAAAAATGGCTAACCACAGCCCTGATATCGAACAGATCTTGAGAGAAAGGCACAAGCCGAAGCCCTTCCTGTTGCGCAATTTGCTTCCAGGAACCGAGGATCCTAGACTCAAAAGCCCACTGAAGAGTCTAAAGATAAGGCATGGTTTCTAGTTAGCTTCATTCAGGTGCGCAATGAACAAAGCAGAGTACAGAGTAACTCAAAAACTCAACTCAAGGTCCCTGAACAAACAATTTGCAGATCTTTTATATCTTCCTTCAGCCACAGTTCCCATCAAAAGGCCCCTAGTTGTATTCCTTTCACCCTGCCATAATTCTTACCTTAACATTATCAGTGTTTTTCCTCCCTGATTTTCCTCCCGTGCATTCTAGGCAGTCATGTCCTGATGACCACCTCCATGCTTAGATCAGCTAAAACTAATCTATGCCACAATTAGTTTGGCTATAATTCATCTAGCTAGGGTTAATCTCTAGTTTGCCAAGAACACCCACCCTCCATAAGGGCCCTTCAGCCTCTGCTCCCAAGTCAGGCCAACCTTCCCAAGTGCAAAAAATTATTGTGTGCTTAGGAGAAATCCTGCTATGGAATGTCTCCAGTTCTGCAGCTTCTGTGCAATGGGGGAGTAGGCACAGACGGCTTCGTCACAGCCCTTGGAGAAAAATCCCAGTGCTGTGATGTCAGGGCCTCTGCCAAGTCAATGCTCAGGGACAAACCTGTCTCCAGCCATCCAGACTGCAAGCTCAAAGATATGATCTTGGACACCCCCTTATTGCACTTGAGGATAAGCAATCAAGCAGCTCAAAGGCCTTCAGCCAGGCTTAGGTAACAGCAGGGATTACAGAAACCAACATTTTGGGCATTCAGCACAGAGAGGAAACCCCACAATCTGCCAGGAAACAGAAACAAACAGCTGCAGGCTTCTTAAAGAGAAATGTCCAACTGTTGCTGGTAAGTCTTCAGCCTTCTTCCCAAGAAATGGAAGTTAAGGTGTCATCTCCATTTTCCAAGCGAATGTTGCCAAATGGGAAAAGAGAATAATTCATGCTGTAATTAGGATGCATCAGCATGTAGGCTTAGTGCACCTGAAGGATGTGCCCCCGGGATTCTTCTAGTCCTGGATAGGAATGTAGACAATATTTGTCTGCGACCTCCCCAAATTATGTTGAGCATTTTTGCTACACTATGTGGAATAAGGCAAGGGAATCCTTTTGCAAGTATATGGGCTCTGTTTACACATCACAACAAGCCAGGATTCTTCCGAATCCTTGCTCATGATTAATGAGACAACAGACTGAGACAACTGGGAGTGGCTAAACAAACCATGGGCCTTGTTTCTATGGCTTGTCACTGTGTGTGAACCAGGAACCCTAATTTATTTTCCCCCCCAACAAGCCAGAACCTTAAGCCAATACCAAACCATGGTTTATGTGATTCCCTCTCGCCAGGGGAGAGACAAACCAGAGTTCCAGGTTTGCACACAATGATAAACCATGGAAAGAATGTGCATGAGCAGAGTAAACAATGAGCCAAGGTTTACACTACTGCATTCATGCTCTAATTGTGGGCTTCCTGATGGGCAGCTAGTTGACCATCCATGAGTGGCCTGAGTAACAGGGTCCTTCACTAACACTGTTTTTATCATGTTGTGTAGGGTTGCCACCCCTTTTTTGATCTGGTTGAAGGATGCATAAGTCATTTCCCAACTATAATTGCATTTGCAGGACAAAACTCGCCCTGGACAGACGAGTAAATTCAGTTCACTCCTACACATTTGCCTAACCCTAACCCTAACCCTTTCTGTAGCTCAGCCTAGTTCAGTCTTCCTGTGCTTCAAACTACATGAACACACAAAGAAGCATAAAGCTAAATGTCAGAATGCTGCAGAATAGTCAGTAACCCAGAAACAGAAACAATCCAATTTTCTTCCCTTAAGCTTTCAGAGCACTTCCCTGTAATATGCCTAAAGCCGAGATGCTTTCTCATCTTTTGGGAACTATACACAAATGGGATTATTGCAACATCTCGGGTTTTGCAAGGCAGTGACTCCCAGATGCCGCCAATAACAACAACAAATCATCATCACTATTTATTAAAAGATCCGTATTGAGAGGTAATATGAATAAAATGTATGCCTTGTATCAGTGAGTGGTTAATTTAGTTAAGTGGTGTGGGGGGCAGCGGAGGAAAGGTAGCATTTAATTTTGCATTAAGGCAGCATGCTTTAAGCTACAAGCTTTTCCTTCCAATACCACCATGCACAGGTATGCAGGATGAACTCTGCACATTCTCTGAGATACCTTCCTCTTTATTATTAAGCGTCTTTCAGGGTGAATTTCTGCTTGCCACACAATCCTTAAAGCAAAGGTATTGAATTTGGCCTGTGGGTGAATTCCTTTTTGTTCCCAGGGGTTGCATTCAGGAATGGGTTGGACCAATCAGAACAGGTCCAAAAATTTCAAATGATAAGCTTCAAGTTTTCACTGCTAAACAAAACCCCCTGAGAACTACCAAGTGCAAAAACCTGGGAACTACCCAGCCATGAAGGTCAGAGAAGAGTGGGTGTAGGCCCTGGAAATTTTGCAGAATAATCTGCTATTATCATAAAGTCAGAGAGTTGAAAGAGATTTGGCAGTTTAGCTAATCCTAAAAACCACCCTTGAACACAATTTTCGGGTGTTCAAAGCACACGTTTTTGTAGCTTAGTTTCACAAATATTCAGTGTACCGACTGTGTGGTTTTTCTGGCTAGAATCATGTGCCTTTAACAGCTAGATGACAAGTCGATGAAGTATCTCCATGTGTAGTGAGGGGGGAAAAAAGAACTTTCCAGATTGTGGGTTGATGGTACATAAGGCACCCAGGAGGCTAAGGCTAAAGCTAAGCGGGCTTGGCCCTGGCCTGAATTTGGAAGGGAGACCACATGAGAACCACATGTAGCCATCTTGAGTTCCACAATGGGAGAGAGATGGGATTGAAATATAATAAATGAACTTCAAGTTCGGAATTTCTGGTTATTTCTGGCTCTTAAAGGCGCAGCAGGGCAGCCGGAAAACAGAACTGGAAACCTTTTTGAGACATGAAAGTCATGAAAACGAATGGGAGAGTGCCACCACATAAGAAAAAAACCCACCTCATTCTGTTTATGTGCCTTAAACTACATAAATTTAGCAAGCTGCCCTTGTCATGTTGCAAAGAAACTGCCTCACAGTGCAATCCTATCCTAATCCATGTGTACCAAGAAGTAGATCCCACAGAATTAAGTAAGGCTTAAGTAAGTGAGTGCAGGATGATCTGTTATTCCTGAAGGACAAGCTAGCAAGGGCGAGCAGTTTGTAGGCCAGAAGACATGAAGGGCCACAACTCCCATCAGCCCTAGCCAGCCTGGAGCCAATGGTGAGGTTTCATGGGAGCTGAAGGCCAAAACACATGGAGGGCCAAATGTTGCCCACCCTTGCCTTTGAGTGACTCTCCCTGCACTCAATAGGGCTTACTTTTGAGTAGTCCTGTATCAGATATTACTAGTTGTTGGTTTTCTTAACACGTACAGATTGCCCAATAGCTAGAGCTCTCCAGGTGGTGTACAACTAAATTCAAAAGGCAAGACAATTGCAAATACACTGGAGAAGAGGAAAGGTGATAATTGGAGAGAGGAGGTAGGAGTCTGTAAGCTGCCTCGACCTCGCTGCATGAAAAAGGCAGGCTGTAAATATAATTAATTGATAACACAAACAGCATGAAGATAAAGTCAACTGCAATGGGGGAAAAAACAGGGCAGCTGAAAACCAAAAGTTTGCACCATGCACCGGGACCTCAAATGCAAAGCTTGCAGTTCACTGTAGAACTCATGAAAGTTTCCATCACAACAAAAATCAACAAAAGCTCTTATATAACCTGTCCATCCGCCAAAAGGTATTTAGTAGCCCACATAAAACCCTGCCATATAAATTAGGATGGCAAGATCCCACGGTTTCACGCACAAGCAAAGATTGAGACCTGGGTCTGTTCAGTCTCTCGTGCTCACGTATTTGGCCGGGGATACATTCTGTGGAACATGCAAGGACTTCCTTCAAAGCAACTTTGCACAGGCTGTACCTCCAGCCTTCTCCAGTTACGCTGCCTCTTGTTGTGAACGGTAACAATAACAGCAGAAAGTACAGAAGCCCTGAGGAAGACATCTTTCCATCCACTTACCCAAAAGACGAGGCTGATCAAGAGCAATACAGTCTTGGAGGCAATTACTCCAAAGTCCATGCTGTCCTCTCGGGGTGTGTATTATTAAGGAAAAGGAAAAAATAAATAAATAAAAGAGCAAGTTTGTTGGTGCCTACCAAACAGAATTAAGAGACTACGCTAGGACAGCTTTGTGTGCGCCCATCCGCTCTCTAACACCTCTGAGACTTCACTGAGCTTTACTAGTTGGAGTCACATGATGCACTCCTTGCCCTCCCCAGTCACATGCTTTTTATATACAGTACCAAACACCACCTTTCTGTAGCCTCATATTCCTCTCCAGGACTCATCATTATTATGACTAATAGGGCTACCGTAAACCTTCTGAACAAGCAGCATGAGCAAAGGCAATGTACCAAATAGTTCCTAATAGCACATCCAGCCCAACATGACTTTTCCTCTAGAAAGGCTCTAGTCTCACCTATGTTGAAGGTAATGGCATGTTTCAAAATGGGGTCATCCCATCCCACCCGCCACCCCACAGTTGCTCCCTATAGATGTGCCTTGAATAAGACACAGTCTTTAGCAGAGGTTAGCAAGTGATCATGCTTTACCATACAGTGAAAAGGGTTCTTGCAGATTTCTGCAGATTGCGTTGTTGATTTAGCAAGGCTGAGCAGTGTTTGGTCCTTCAGATGTTTTGGCTTACAAGTCCCAACATTCATCATAGTGGGAGTTATGGGGACGTAATCTGGAGACCAACTTGTGCACTGCTCAGGAGCTTTGTTTTCTAAGTAGAAGCTTGTGGCTTTTTTCAGTACTGGAATTAAATCGGGATGCAGCTTTATCCTTGCAAAGCTTTTTTTTTGTAAGGGCCTTTACTTCTTGCAGCAAAGCCCTGGTTGAACCTTGGATCTCAGCGATGCTAGAAAATATTTACAATAATATCTACTAGGAAAGATTTGTGTGTGCACATGGAGGGGAGGGGCCAACCAGAAGAAGTTATATTTAATTTAAAAATATAATAATGTATTGTCAGCAACAATATTAAATTAGCTATCTTTTTAAAAGGAGAATTGATGCTTCATATCACCAGGCATAACTACAATTCTCCAAAGGGAATCCAAATACTTTACAATATAATCTGCCATATTAAGCAAAAGTCCCAGAAATAACTCTGTTTGACAAAATTGGACTTACTTCTAAGTAAACATGCAAAGGATTGCTCTGTTATGCATAGAACTTGGAAGAGCTGCATCCCTCCCATCCTTTCTTTTCTTCTTTTTTTGGGCTAATTTAACCCAACAGTGATTTTGTCCATACTAAAATGAATTTAGGCCATTCTAATATCTGAGTGTTTACAAGAGCTGAAAAAGGCAGTCAAACACAGGACAACACTCATTTATAGGGTTGCGCTAACTCAGAGATGACCCAACAGCATGAAACAACAAGCAAAACGACTATCTGAAAATGCAAAGTAACAGTGATTCTCTGAGATCAGGATGTTGTGGACAAAGTTCACCACCATCAAATTACCACAGTATGGTTACCACAGCCTCAGCAGTGCCTTACAGAAATGTTTGGAAACGATGCAGACATGGGCTCCCCCTTTGGATAGCGACTGTGGCTTTAAAATGCACTGTAAATAACCAAAAGCTAGTGAGATTTGATACAATTCTAAAAAGACAGTTGTATGTTCAGCCTTGAGAAGGGAAGACTGAGGGGGGACATGATAACCCTCTGTAAGTACCTCAAAGGCTGTCACAAAGAGGAAGGTCAAGATCTCTGCTTGCAGATGCCAGAGTGCAGGACACAGAATAATCCATTCAACCCAGATTCAGGCTGGACATCAGGAATAGCTTCCTCACTGTCGCAGCAAGGTGACAGCGGAACCGGCTGCCTGGAGAGGTGGTGGGCTCTCCCACACTGGAGACATTCAGAAAGAAACTGGACAGCCATCTCAGTGGGATGGTGTAACCTGATGTCCTGCAACAGCAGGGGCTTGGATCCAATGGTCTTCATGGCCCCTTCCAACTCTACTATTCTGTGATTCTATGATTCTATAACCAGCATACAAAGATTCAATAGTAAAACAACAGATAATATTATAGAGTGTTCATTAAAGCTACTAACACCATTTTCATAGCTGGAATGCATCTTCTTTGCTCCCACAGCAAATGGGGCATCTACTGTATATAGCTAGCATATAGTTGATTATCAGCCAGTAATTGCATTACAAACATGGGGACTTGTATCATGGTATTGCTGAATATTTGCTTAATTTTTCTTGGGTGTCCAGCCACAAGGTCAGAACAACAAATATGGCAAAACTTCCATCTGATAGTATTCAAAAATACCTTTCTGCATCACTATTTTGTCTTGCTTGTTACACTTTATAGCCAAATCTTGCACAACTATTTATCCATGCAGTAACTACAGAAGATCTGCTTGCTTGCTGTTACTTTTCCTTACAGTCCAGACACTTCTTTTGCCCCTGTTCGTCTTGTGTGTAGCCCCACCATTTCCTCTACTAAGAGAAATCGGGTGAGATACAGCTGCAATCTTGCAAAGCTTATCTTTGCAGATTAGGCAGAGCAGGACCTGTGCGTGCAGTCCTGAGCTCTATATTTTAAGATGGATGCACAAGAACTGAAGTGCTGCAGAGGAAGAGAATGGCCAGCAGTAAAGAAAACAAGTCCATTTGGGACAGGTTGAAGAAACTGGGTATGTTTCACTTGCAGAAAATAAGAAGGGCAAAGACACATGGTAGAGATGCAAATATCTGAAGTGCGGGCTGTCCCATAGAAAGGAGTAAACTTATTATCTGCAGTTCAAAGAGCAGAAGTGGCCCTAAAAAGCTTCAGCTACAGGAGGGAAGATTTTGGATGAGTAACAGAATTACTTTGATATTCAGAGCAGTTGAACAGTGGCATCAATTACCTGGAGAAGTCGTGGTTTCTTAGTAAATAAGGCACTATATCAATATTGATGCATAGCTGGCTTTCAATGCCCCTTCCAAATTTATGCTGCTATGATAAATATTCCTTCCCTCTTCCACAGCTCTACCTCCAAGTCTCCTGCTGTCTTAAATACCTCTCCATTCATCCTTGTTGCCATGTACCACTTTACAGTCCTGTGAATTTCTACTCTGAAATAACTCTCATTAAATTGGATAGGTAGCTCCTGGGTAAATGTGTCTCGGATTGCAGCAGAAGAACCGAGTTGTTCAAAAGCTTGCATGCTACAGTGGAACAACTAATTTAAGAGCTACACAGAAATATTCCTTAGGGTCTGGGTGAGTATATAAAGGAAAAAAGAGAATTTAATATATATTTCTGAGTGATGGTGTAGACACTGCAGTTGGTGTTGTTACCTGCCATCAGATTGTTGCTAGTCACAAAGTCGTGTCCGACCCATCGCGACCCCGTGGACAACATCCGTCCAGGCCTTCCTGTCCTCCACCGTCCCCCAGAGTCCACCTAAGCTCACACCAACTGCTTCAGTGACTCCATCCAGCCACCTCATCCTCTGCCCTCCCCTTCTTCTTTTGCCATCTATTGTTCCCAGCATTAGGCTCTTCTCCAGGGAGTCCTTCCTTCTCATTTGGTGGCCAAAGTATTTGAGCTTCATCTTCAGGATCTGGCCTTCTAAAGAGCAGACAGGGTTGATCTCCTCTAGGACTGACTGGTTTGATCACCTTGTGGTCCAAGGGACTCGCAGGAGTCTCCTCCAGCACCACAATTCAAAGGCCTCAATCCTTCGGCGCTCAGCCTTCCTTATGGTCCAGCTTTCACAGCCATACATTGCAACTGGGAAAACCATAGCCTTGACTATACGCACTTTTGTTGGCAGGGTGATGTCTCTGCTTTTTAGTATGCTGCCTAGATTTGCCATAGCTTTCCTCCCCAGGAACAAGAGTCTTTTAATTTCTTGGCTGCAGCCCCTGTCTAAGGTGATCTTGGAGCCCAGGAAAATAAAATCTGTCACTACCTCCATTTCTTCCTCCATTCAGATAGTCCAGTTTAAAACACCCCTAGGAATGAATGACTTCCAAAATGTCTTGTCATTCACAGTGGATGTATATTTTGCTTTTTTATAGGGGTATGTCAAACCTTCAATATCAGCTACCTTGCCCTGTGGCAAAAATAAAAGAGTCTTCTTTACATATTTGTGTACTACACTGAAATCCTTTTGAAGGGCAGCTCAGAAATATTTAGAGGAATGGGTATCACTAGCTCAAAGGTGATAAAAATTTAGCCCAACCCAACAGCCATTAGGTGGCAGCAACACTCCAGTCAGTGGAATTAGTACTAGGTGCAGTATTTACTTTGTAGAGCAGAAAATGTTAATAGAGGGGCGGGAAAAAGCAGTTTGTCTAACAGTGTAGAATATCCTAGAGCAGCCTTTCCTCACCTCAGAGTGGGAAACTTGTAGCGCTCCAGATATACTGGATTACATCTCCCTGCATTCCACAGCCAACATGGGAGTTGTAGTCCAAGATATCTGGAGGACATCAGGTGAAGGGAGACTGCCCTACAGAAAAACAAGCTGAGGGACAGTGTGGTGTAGTGGTTAGAACGCTGGCCTGGAGAGCTGGATTCTCGTCTGCACTCAGCCCTAAAGTTCATTGCGGGACCTTGGGTGAGTCCTTCACTCACTCAGCCTAACCTACTCAGAGGTTATTGTGAGAATCAAACGGTGCAGCGAGGTGAGGAACACCGCGCGCCGCGTTGATCCCCCTGGAAAGGAAGGCGGGATTTCAATATATAATGCATAAAAATAAGGGTTGCATCGTAAAGAACGAGCAGCCCACCCTTCCTCGCTCACTTCAGAGTAATTCATTCTCTGTATGTGTATTATTAACTATAGTTTCCGAACTGGAAAAAGCCATTCCTATTGGTTGTTCTCAGGATGACTGGCAGAAATATCTTCCCATGCGCTCCACACGCCTTTCCCTAACCCCCAGGGAGGTACCATCCTTTCATTCATTCATCCATTCATGAATTCATCTTCTCGTCCATTCATTCGTTGCCCCGACCACACGCTGTGCTAAGGCGCATGCACTGCAGTTCCTCACCCAGGAGAAGGGGCGGGATGGTTTAACCTCCTGAAGGGGGGCGGAGCCTCTCGCGTGGTGACATCACTCCGCTTCCCGGCCGCTTGGTTACTACGGCAACGCGGAACGCGTCCAGCGGCAGCTTTTTTTGGGGCGCCTTCAACGTGGGGAAGGCAGCGGGATGATGAGTGAATGGAGTCGGGTGTTGCCGGAGGTGAAGGGGCCCAAGCCGCACTCGTTGGCCTTTGTGAGTCCTTGTGTCTGGGGAAGTAGGTGGGGTGGTACAGTCATTCTCAAGTCGCTAGTCCTCAGTAGGGCCTAGCAGCAATAGTCTTTACGCAGCGCCTCTGTGCTGAATTAGAGGTAAATGTGCATAAACATTGCAGCTGACGGGTCAGATCCAGAGTGAAGCATTCTAGAGTAGACCCATTGACATCTGTGGGACTTGAGGGGATGCTGTGTCAGTGCAGCTTCTCATCCCTTGCAGCTTTTGGTATGAGCATTATAGAAGTTATCCATGGTGCCAAACGCCACCTCCAAAATAGGTCCATCTTCATGGAGCACCATGGACACCTCCTGTAAACCTCAAGCCAAAAGCTGCCATGGATAAGCAGCTCCACTGACATAGTCCTACTGTAAATACCATAGTAATCAGATAGCAAGCCATAGTTTTTATAGGCCTATCTCTTGACATCGGAGACACCTGTTGGATCAGGCAGTTTCTTATATTCAGAGATTTGGGCTGCAGTCCTGCACATATGTTTCCAGGAGTAAGTCCCAAGAGCACCATCTGGAGCAGAATGTTATTCCACACTGTGGCCAACCAGATGCTTCCAGATGCTTCCCAAGCAGAGCACCAAGGTGAAGATGGGCATTCATTGTGATAGTTCTCAGCATGTGGTATTCAGATGAAAACTGCCTCAGGACCTGGAGGTTCCACTGGGTTATCCCAGCTAACAGTAACAAATAAATCTGTCCTGTATGAACACAAGATCTATCTTAGCCAGCTACCATTTGTTCATTCTGTGGAAGTGAACCCTGGAATAATTTTTGGTTTTGCAGAGTGTCTTAAGCCTTTATATTTAGTCAAGGTTCAATTGGATGCCAGGAAACACTTCCTGACAGTTAGGACCCCGAGGGTGTGGAATGGGCTTCCACGAGAGGTCCTAACATCGGTGTGGGTGTTCAAAGATAGGCTGGACATGCACATGGTGGGCATGTCGTGAGCAGAGCCGGCTGGTGCTGGAGGTCAGACTAGATGGCCCGGGAGACCCCTTCTGACTCACTCTGTTTCTATGTTCTATGTTAGTCAAGGTTACAAATCTAAATATCATGTTCATAACAGCCATCTGTTTCCATACAAAAGGACCCATATGCAGGGTGAGCACTGCATAAGTGCAAACCCTATTTTTATGCACACACGTGTAATAAATGGTGTATATGAAGTTAGACCTTTTAATTTTTTTTCTGACATAAGATTTCCTGGATGCTGCCCATTTCATTGGAAGTGTTAACTTCAAATTAGCAGAACTATTTTAACATGCATTTTAAACAACCTTGTCAGATGGAATTGAAATAAAGAAAGTTCAGGCAATGATGAGTATCTTAACTGCCATTCACAACATGTTTCTGGGCCATCACACATTTGTATATTGACTGTGACTAAAGGCATGCTTCCTTTTACAGAGGGCCAAGTTTCCCAAACCAAATGTTGGTAAAAAGAAATTACTTAAGTGGAGGGACCAAGAAATCAAGCGCCATGAAGCTGAGATGCAGGTGAAGGCCCATCTCATTGGCCTCCAGATCAATGAAAGGGAGAATCTGAACCAACAGAAATTGTTCCACCGGTGTGTACAGAAGAGGGTCGATACTGAAATGCAGGCCTACCTGGCTGGGCAAGAGGAGAGAAGAGAGAGGTAACTGAAGCCAGTTGAGTGTTTCCTGCTGGGAGGACCTGGGAGTCAGGTTTTAAATACACTTTAATGTCACTAAGCTAGTCCTTGAGGGATAAGCCTCCAATCGAATATGAACACATTTATTATTGTTGTTTTCCATCAGAGTAGATACACTTTATAGAGTGACATAGGGATATAAATTCTTCTCTTCAAGAGACTACTGTGTTAACAATAGGCAGGGACCCCCAGCTTAGTGATAAGAGCAGATGCTTTGCATCCAGAAGGCCTCAGGATCACGTACAAAACTACCAGTTAACTAGCGATTGCTGGCAGTTGCAGTTAGTCACATAGGTTAGCCTTCCCCCATCCCTGTCCCGTGCTGGCTGGGAATCATGGAACCATAGAATCATACATACAGTTGGAAGGACCCTAGAAGGCTATTGGGCCCAACGGCCTGCTAAGTGCAGGATGCAGATCTCCCATCCAGATTCTAACTGGGGGTGACCCTGCTTAGCTTCTAATATTAGGCAGGATCAGGCAATTCAGGCTATACAATGCTGTTGCTGCCTAATTCATCTGGAGGAGCAGGTATTCTGGATCCAGAAGGATCTGAACAGGCTATGGAAGTGTGCCAGGGAAAACAGGATGGCGTTCAGTGCAGATAAATGCAAGGTCTTGCACTTGGGGCATAGGAATGGGAGTCATAAGTACAGGTTAGGGGACAAGAGGCTGAAGAGCAGCACTTGTAAAAGAGACCTCGAGGTGCTGGTCAAGTGCAGGTTAAACATGAGTCAGCAGTGTGACTTAGTGGTCAAGAGGGCGAACACCACCCTTGGATGAATACCCACAAGCTTGACTTCTAGATTGAGAGAGGTATTACTGCCCCTCTGTATGATTCTGGTGTGCCTGCAACTGGAGTACTGTGTTCAGTTCTGAGCTCCACATTAAAGGAAGAATAGAACCAGGTTGGAATCGGTGCAGCGCAGGGCCACAAGGATGATGTCTGGATTGCAGGGGAAGCCATATGAGGTGAGACTGAGGGAGCTGGGTCTTTTTAGCCTGGAGTAGAGGAGACTCCAAGGGGATGTGTTGGCAACATATAGGTACGTGAGGGGGTCGAGACCTGTTTTCCCCTGCAGAGGAGGGCAGGACGCGTTCCAGTGGAGCAAAACTCAGGGACATAAGGTTCAATTTGGATGCCAGGAAGTACTTCCTGATAGTTAGGCCCCCAAAGGTATGGAGCGAGCTTCCACAGGAGGTGGTTGAAACCCCATCAGTGAGGGTGTTTAAGAATAGGCTGGGCATGCATATGGTAGGCATGTCATGAGTGGAGCCAGGGATCAGACAAGATGGCCTGGGAGACCCCTTCTGACTTTACTCTCTTTCTGTGTTTCTAAACTGAGAACTGGCACCTGCCCAACATCACTCAGTAAAGCATTCATGGCTAAGTGGAGACTGGAACTCAGATTGTTCAAGTCCCAGTCCAGCACACTAATTGGAACAGCTCACTAGCTACAAGTTCATACAGACACACCTTTCTTCCAGCTCTTGAAGCCTTCATCTGTACCTGCAAGCTCTGAATTCAGGCAAATTATGTCAAATTTTCACATTTCTGTTTGAAAACTGTCAGATGTGAATGGAGTTTTTAATTAACTTTTAACAGGCTTCGTGATCTCCTGGAAGCTGAGGAAAAAGCCTACTTTGCTGAAATGGAATCGCAGGAAGAAACGATGGAGGACCGGCGGATAACAATGAGGGCAAGAGTCAAACAGCTGAGAGAACAGAGGGAAGAAGCCAGGCGGAAGCTGGTGGCTGAAAAAAGGGAGCAACAGTTCAGGTAAGTTGTTCAAAAACTGAAGTGGCCTGCCAGAAAGCAAGGTGAAGGAGGTTTCCTGAGTTTCTGCTTTAAATATGGAAGTAAGCCAAAACAGACATGACTGGAAATCCTTATCTAGCCATTATGTCTTTTTGCTTATGTTCTGTTACTTTAAAATAGGTACGGGGCAGGGGGGAGGTCCTCACCCCCTCCCAGAACTTTAAAGTCCTTCCCTATGCTTGGGTCCCAATCAAGTTTTGGAGTCTTCTGTCTACTCTGGAATACAATGTGGGTGGGGATGCAGTGGGTAGATACTATAGGGAGGAAAGTCTGTTTTGGCCCAGGGTGGGAGGTGGAAAGGGTCCTCGCTCAAGGATGTAAGTCTGCTGGTGAGGGCTCCGGCAGCCATGTGCTTGGCAAGGGAAGACCAAACATACTTAGAGCTTTTCTACAGAACTGGGAGTCCTGGGTTTTGACCACAAGGGGGGAAAACACATGCGTACAGTTGTATGCCTGCAGGACCCTTTGTCATTTACTTCAAGCTTATGGCTGTAAGGACCTTCGGTGTGAAAAGCAGATGCTCTGCCACTGAGCCAGGGTGCTTCCTGTGTCCATCGTGCATTGTGAGTGAAGCCAGACAGCACGTTTTTGTTTCTCCTTCATTGAAGTGGAAGGAGGCAGCACACAACAGGGAATCAGTGAGTGGGGTCTTCTGGGCTCCAGTGACCTTGTAATTCAAGGCACTATGTGCTGTCTGGTTCCCAGCTTGCTGTTTCGTCCTAAAGGGATTTATTGCTCCTCTGGTTGAGACTTATTGGAAGGATGAGTGGGGAAATTGGTTTATAGTCCTCTTTTATATGTTGCTTGGCTTTTTGTTGCAAACTTGTTTATAAGAAGCCTTTGAGACCTGTCCTTATTTCAATGTGTGTTTTAAAGAAAATTAGAATGCCTCTAAAATGGGCATAAAGGCATAATCCCCCCCCCGTGTAGATGTTTGCAGAGGAGGCAGCAGTCAAATCACTTCTGCCTTGGTTCCATGGAAATGGATAACTGTCAGTGAGGGGCACACATTTCACTTCTAACTTTTGGAAGTAACATTAAAATTACCTCTCCTTCTATAGTAAAAGACCTTAGGACAGCAAACTGACATTTATGGAACACATATTTTGATAACATCAAGCAATTACCATGTTGCTTTTATTAGATTTTCCTACCTCAGCTGACTTTTTGATTTAATTCTCAGCAGGTGGGAAATGCTATTTATTTGTAGCGGTGAATAACTTGTGGCTTTCCGCATGTCTTGGCATATAACTCTCATGGTCCTTGACCACTGACCATGGTAAAGGAACATGAGGCTGATGGGAGTTGTAGGCCCCAAAACATTGGGAAGGCCACAGTTTGCTCACCTGTTCTATTGAAACCACCCAAAATGTCACAAAATAGCATGTACATTCTTGAGTGTTCCAAAACTATGAACTAGTTTGGGTACCACCTGTGTGTAGCATCCCTCTAAGGACTAAGGAACAACTATAGGATACTCACAAGTGTGCTCCCTTTTTGTGATGCATTGGCCCTACAAAATACCCCCATCTATGGGTTTAGGGGCTATTATACTGTATGATTTCTGCCCGATTTTTATGTTATAATCATTACACACTGGATAATGAAAGCCAGTTTAAATTACAGACTTGCACAGGGAGCAAGTCTCTTTAAACAGAATGGAGCTTATGTTTGAGTAAACATGCATATAGTGGTCTGTTGATCTCCTTTCTCTTAATGGCATTTTGAACTCTTTGTATTGTGGGAATATCATTATTTCTATTGTTTTCAGATAGGAGAAGTGCTGACTATGCTGGGAAAAAGCAGCTGGGTTGGGGATGCAAAGACAACACTAGTTAAGATTTTCATGCTCATCAGGTTGTACTAAACAAACTCCAGATTAAATGCAACGAAAGAGTAGCTCTCTCTGCACTAGAATAGCAGCTGAATTCAAGGAGCTCTCTCATGCTCCACCTTTGCTCCGTGATTCACCTGCACCTTTCCCATTCCTTTGAAAGAGACTTCCAGAGGTGAACTTCAAGTGGGTTCCATTTTGTACAGGAGGACAATTCTTTATATAAAAGCATGTCATATATTGCTTTATGTCCCCCTTTTGGTGATTCTGCTAATCAGCAACAAATCATTAGATTTTATTTGTTGAGTCAGTGAAAAACTGCTGCATTTACCAACTGAATCTGGACTGACAGCAGTTAATATTTATTTATTTATTTATTTAGGAGACTTCTATGCTGCTCCATTCGCCGAAGCCTCGGGGCGGCTCACATCCATAAATAAACTTCCTTAAATTAATATAAATTAACAGTATAAATTAAGTCGCCCTGGCCAAAGAATAAAATGAATAAATACTATTAACCATTAAAATGACATTTGAATAACAAGGTCTTCGCCTGGCGCTGAAAAACAAATGACGGCGCCAGGCGGACCTCTCTGGGAGTGCATTCCATAGATTGGGTGCCACCGCAGAGAAAGCCCTCCTCCAAGTACTCACCCTCCTAATTTCCTTCATGGAGGGATCCCGAAGAAGAGCCTCTCCCGCAGATCTCAAGGGGCGGGCGGGCACATATGGACGTAATACATAATTCCTTAGCTCTTGCTGTAGAAAGCAGCAATGTAAGGATCTGTAAAAGTTTCTCCATATTTGATCAGTTGCTTTATGTTGCTTCAGTTGGCTGGTTTGCAAGAATATACAGTAAAGCTAAAAGTAGCAGGTGCAGAAAGGTCAGTGAGGTCTACTGTGCTGCTCACTATACGTTTTGAATTTTAGAGACCCCCTCAGGCAAGATGTGCTTGGTGCACCTGCCTCCTCCTCCTCCTCCCTGCTGTTGCTGCTGGTAGTGAGACCCTTAGTGAGGCATTGACAAGTGCCCAGTAATGCCACGTCCTGACACCAGCCCAGCTTCTGCTAGGTGAAGCTGGGCAGGGGTCCATTCACCCCTCACGTAGTGAAGGCCTTGGGAGGCAGGGAAGGGTTGACTATAATGTAAGTGGTTTAGGAGAAGCTCCAACTGTCAGAGATGCAGGGGAGATCTCCCAGGCTTATCACAGAAGATGGCCCTAAGGCCATCTGGTTAGAGCTGTTAACCTTGGACTGCAATGGGGATAATTGCGAGCAGCTGGGAAGGGGGGGCACTGGAGCTGGCTGGCATCTCTCCAGTGCCAGTGGAGCAGGGCTAAAATGCCCCGACTTTGAGCGAATTTTTCTCCTGCTGAATCCTGATCTGGTGTGAGCAGTTATTCCTTGACCAAAAGGCAAAGCCTTCACAGCAGGAGGGATCTGCTCGTTAGCTCTAAGCTTAAGGTGAGCTTTATTGCTTTCTTCCTGTGGTGCAACAAGGAGTCCAGGTGCTTGGGACTGGGATGCTGTCTATTTCTGATGCATTGTAGCATTGCTGCCATCCACGTGCCCTTTCCCCTTTCATTTTGGCACCCCCTCTTCTTCCCCTACTGTCTTCAACAGAACTTGTGTTTAATGCAAACTGGTGTTTGGGTGCATTACAGTGCTAAATCTGGTGTCTTTCCTGAGGGGGGTGAGCTCGGTTGCCTGGTGGGTTTGGTACAGCAGTGGTGGATTAGAACGGTACCTCTCTGCCTTGCTATCACACCTCAGATTTTACACACACACATGCACACGCGTGTGCATTGAGCAGCCCACCAAGTGCCAGTGTTGATAAGCCAGCAGAGCCTTTCTGGTTCGTAAGAGTCATTAGTGCTTCACTTAAAAACATGGCTGCAGATTTCTCTACTTTCACTAAAAAAAATGCTTAGCTAGAAAGAAGGAGATGAGACGCGTGGGACTAAACAGCCCCTGCCTGGATGGCTGAAGAACTGCCCAGCTCTGATGCCTGCTCTGAAATAGGCCCTTTCATGTCCAAAGTAGAAAATGTTTAGCATATCAAGCCACATTATGCTGACAAGAAATGCAGTTCATGCCACGGTGACACCAGGCATCTGCTGGGCCCCACGCTCCAGCAGGGGGGGGCATCCCTTACCACCTAGGCCCCCTCTGCCTGTTTCTCTTCCTTACTGTTGCTTCCTATTCAGCTGCCCTCCCCAAGCAAGCATTTTGCCCACCCCCTACCCCTCAGACTTTGAGTCTGCGCTGTGCAGGGGCGAGTGATATACTGTGTGCAGCATGCTTGAACTGTTCTTAATAATTTACCCATTCATTCATAAATGCATGCAGCCCTTTCCCAGTAATAATACCCAAGACAAAGTACAGTGCAAGCAACTATAGCATCAATAAAACAAAACAAGATCTGACAAGCAGCAAGAGAAGAATGGATACCATATTGCTTCAAAGAAAACTAAGGGCACAGTCCGAGGCATGTTTAGGCAGAACTTCACTACATGAACAAATTAACCTGCCACTTTGCTGTGGCTTCCTCACTTTTCATTCTGAGAGGAAAAGTATGTGCTTTACATGAGTTCGTTTCCCCCAGGACTTGTATTTCTGTTGCTTCTTGTATATTAACTACCCACAAGGCGGCACTGTGGTTCAGCATTGCAGTGCTTTACTAGGCTTTTACTTCTGTTTGAAATTTAATAGCCTGCTTTCTGCTTTATTAAAAAGGAAGAGAGAAAGTGGCTGGAAACCTGGAAGAGGCCCTGCGGGACAACAACGTAATGAAAAGGGCCCCAAACTTCTGTGAGCTAGGGATAACGAGCACACTAGAAATGTCTCAAGCAGAGAAGCCCCCCTCCCAAATCCTACAGCGTCAGCCAGGATGGCTGGGGAATACTGGGACTTGCAGGGCCTTTTCCGTTCTAAACAGCCATCAGCTTTTGCCTGAAAATGCAAGCATTAGCTGGCTCATAAAGCAGACCAAATACCCAAGGACTGGGGCGAGGCGCAAGCAGCAGGAGCAGCAGTAATGGGCATTCCTCAGCTTGGTCAGTCCAAAAGTCTAGGGACAAGAGGTTGCCCTGTTAGCCAATCAGGGCAGGAGAGGGTGCCAACAGGTTTCTTCCCTCCCTTGCCCTTTCTCCAAGCTAGTCTTGGCAGTGACAGCCATGATGCCTCTGAAGTGGCAAGGGACGGCATGTGAGAGATTCCTGTTCCCCCCATCCATGTGTCTAGGCCACTTCTGAAGGAGAATTCATGCCAACCTGTCTTCACCCCAAGTGTCGGACACATTGGCCAGTCACTCTTCCTGCCCTGCTTGTGCCAGAGAACATCCCAAGTGGCCCTGAAACGCCATCTGTTTGACGGTCCCCTGGACACCTCAGAGGCGCAGCCCGCAAACAGACTGGCAATCAGAGCAGGGCCGCGTGTGAGCTGCCAGCAGTGGCATCGGCATCAGCCTCTGGGGCAAGCAGCGGTCAGGGGTGTGGGGAACACTTTCACCCAATTAAGTGGTTTGCTGCTTAACACGGATGGCAAGTTGCTAAGGAGCCATAAAGTGTTCGAATCCCACTTGTTTTTGATCCTGTGGTCCCTGGGAGAATCTCCCAAGAGACACAGAATTGTTCATCATTCCCCCTCCAGGGCTCTGGGCACCGCAGTGGGAGAGCAGAGACCAGGATACAAGAAATCCTGGGGCCCTCCCTAGCCCTGGTCCTGCTTTTGCTTCCATCGTCAAGTTTGGTGGCATGGCAGCAGGGCAAACAAGGGCTGTACGTTGCCTGCCCCAATCCAGACATCTGAACTGTGTTTCCTCCTGTACTGTACAACTGTATTGCTTGTTTTTCCTGGCTTTGTGTTACACCTAGAAAGGCATTTTTCTAGACCTAAAACTGGGTATTCTTTTGCAAGTATCACCCTTCCCCAGATGTTTGTGGACTTCAGCTCCCATCAGCCCCGTCTAGCATGCCCAATGGCCAGATGTGCTGGGAATTGTAGTCCACACCATCTGAAAGGCACCAGACTGGAGAATGCTAAGGTAGCCAGCAGATGTCAAGTTTGCTGTCTCTATATTCTATAATCTGACGAGATTCCTCCTCTTCTCTGCTTACCTGCGATGCAGAGAATCTTGCGAGGAAGCACGGACACAGTGGAGCAAGAAGCACTTGCTGGAGGTGTGTGAAGACCGACTGGCCCAGCTGGCCCTGAAGGAGGACCTGAAGAAGCAAAAAGCAGAGGAGGAGGCAACCTTTGCAGCTCTCTGGGAAGAGGACAGGCTGGCTAAGGAGAAGCGAACAGCGGAGGAAGCCCGGAGAAGATCAAGCCGGGACGAAAACATGATCAACATGCTGAATGCACAGAGAGCTGTGGCTGAGGCTCAGAAGGAGGAAGCGAGACGCCTGAAGGAGGAAGAGGCTAAACTGATGGTATGGCAGCCAGTGTCTCCCTGATGTTTTGTGAAGGGCTTCCTTTAATCCAGGGGTCCTCAAATTTTTTCAACAGGGGGCCAGTTGAATGGCGCCTGTGATGGGCGTGGGCCACCAAGGCGGTGTGGGTGGGGCGTATGGGACGGGCGCGCACACACAGCAAGGGGGCGCGCATGTGGAGATCGTTTCCTCCCAGCGAGGAAGCTGCCCCGGGCGCATGAACTGCGAGGCGGCGGCTTGCTCATGAGGAGATCCTTTTCTCCGAGCAGGTCCACAATGACCTCTGCATGAGCAAGTCACTGCCTCGCCACGCAGTTCCATGCTCTTAACCACTACACCACACTGGCTCTCCAGAGGTGCCAGGAAAGGAGCTGTGACTGCCTACACACAAAGTAGTTCTTCCATCACAGAGTTGAAGTCCCGTCCTTATGAAGTGCTTTGCTGGATCAGACCAAAGGTTGGCCTATCTTTTCCCACGGGGACCGGCTAGTGCTCTCAAGGATGCCCAGAGGGGCTGGAGCCCCTTCCATCATTCCTCCCTGGCGACCTGGACTTGGAAACGTGCTGCATCCGACCCTGCTCATAGCAGTCCTTAGGACTAACCGCTACTTCGGATGGGATTATTCTCTCCTCTTGCTCCCCCTGCCCCGAGAATAAGTCTGGACCCTTTAATGCTGTCCCTGCCTAGCCTCCGTTGGTACATACCTGTAAGTTTTGAGCTTTAGCCGGGTGACTTTAGAATGAATGGACTGTGGATCACAATTCAAGAGACAGTTTACAGGCAGGCCTTCGCTAGCCTGATTGCAATGAATGGAAGCCACACACAGGTCTGGTGGGCCGGTACTTTTGGATAATTTCTCATGTAGGCATTAACACAAGCCGGAGGGCAGGGATCTCAGACATGGGCCAAGTCTAGGCTTCCTGGAGCCCCATCCTGGCCACCCAGGGTTCCCCAGAGCACCACACCCCCTTTCCTCAACTACCAATCATCTCCCAGCTTTTGTGTAATATATTTCCCATACCCAAAGGTTGAAATGCCTTTCCCAAGACTTGGACTCTGGCAGTAAGAACAGTATGCTACATTATGCTGAAGAGTTCTGTATTTTGGCTCCCCACCCCCACCCCGCCCCTGGAGTACGGCTCCAAGAGCTGCCCCAAAATTGAATTCAGCCCATCACCTTAAGGAGGCTTCCCTTCCCTGATTGAGAAGCTGTCTCACTGTCAAATTTCCAGTGCTTAAATAGGTGTTCCAGACTGTTAGGTTGCAATGTTCTGAGCTGTGCATTTCAGAAGTAAATTGTGACAAGAGCTTAATGTCTAAGGAAGATGCTTTCTTCAGATGGCCCAGCACGTGGCCACGTGAAGACATGAGCTGGTCTTATGCCAGCGGTCCTGTGGCAGACACTGGCGTGACTGACATCTCTGTAGCGCCCCCAGGGCCTTTACCTGTGGGGTGGCTCATTGTGTCTGAGGTGAGGATAAGCAGAAGCTTAACCTTTTTCTTGGCTTCATTCCGTGCCACGTAGTGATGAATTATGGAGGCTGACTCACACATACAACCCGATTTAACCAAATCCTACCTGGCTTGAGGTCTTCCTGCAAACAGAGGTGATACAGTTGCTGATGGATAGTGGCACCTTCTGTGATGGATATTAATACAATTGTCTGCTGTGACTAGGAAACAAAACTATCCCGAAAAATATATTTAGGGAGCTGGGAATGGTGTTAAGTCTCCTGTACTTCAGCCCTGAGTAGTTAGAGCAGCTTCCTATCTGCTTCTTATGCTAGCAAGCAGTGGTTTCAATTGCCCACAAGCACCTTCCCTCAGTTGAGGAATTGCTGGCTTCTTTGGCTTTGGGCTTGAAGGAACTAGATTCCCCCTCACCTCAAGCTACTTGGGGGTTGCAATGTCTCCGATTCCTGGTTGGGGAACTTAGCGGGAAATGAAGGTCAGTCACGGCGCAGCTGCTTGGTTGCCAAGAAGCTCCAGTCACCCCAAGACCACCACAGCTGCCTCAAGGATGAGCTCTCGCTTCCCGAGGAAGAAGTACCTGCTAAATACCAGCTCGTGCACCAGGATTTGCACCTGTGGCCACCCTGCCGTGCCTTGTGGTACACCATGATCTGGCTGGGAGGGGTCGTGGGTGGTGAGGTGCATCCTGCTGCCCTCGGACAAGTAGCTGAGCTGGTCAGCCTCCTTTTGCCTGTGACTTTGTGCCATACTAGACGATGCCAGATAAAACGCAGGCATTTCGGTAGTGCTTTCTAAAGGTGCGTTGGAGGCTTCAAGCCTAATAGCAAAGGGGAAAAGAAATGGATTATGAACTAGGCCTACACACTGAGAGATCACATTGGCTAGTCCTTGTCCGTACAGCCACTCTGCGCAGTTTTTGACCCACTTTAGTCATTTTTTAAAAATAAGCCAAAGGCCATTAAATCTTTGGTCGATTTTAACCATAGTCCCCAGCAAGGCTTGAGATTTTGTGGCTTGCTGTGATTTGCTGTGTTCTTGCAGTCCCAGCCAGGTGGCAGAACCAGGAGGCTCAGGTGGGCTGTCTCATTCATGAGAGCTGGGCTTTGGTGGGTCACAGGCTATGCAGACCAAGCCTTAAGGCCCTGGGAAGATGCTTAAACTGCCTTGGAGTGAGACCAGCCAGCACATTCACAGCCATAGCACAAACGGTGCTCAGAGCCTACTTCCAGTCTTCATGGTGGCAGTATGCGAAAGCCAGCCTGTTTCCTTGACAGTTACAAGGCAGGAGGTGAGTGAACGACTCCTTTCTGTGGCCTTTTTTGTAGGAAGAAGAACGGCAGCTGTTTAAGCTGGAAGAGGAACGTGCCGAGATTGAGAGACGGCGGAAGCTGAGGGAGTGCAGGGAATCATTGCTGGATTCTATCAAGGAGAAAAACAGGCGTCTCCAGGAAGCAAAGCAAGACGAGCTGGCATTAGATATGAAAATCTTGGACCGTGCCTTGCAAGAAGCCATGGAGGACACCGAGGGCCAAAAGCAAAGGAAAGTAAGGCCAGCAGTGAATTCGGGTTGTAGACTGAACGCAGCAACTCCCAAATGGTGTGCCGTGGCCAAACCGTCGTGCACTGGGAGTCTCACAAAGTTGACAGCAAGGCACCCATTCCACTCCCGCATGTCCATGTTGCTGCGACTCACAGGCTGCCTGTGCAGCAGCTTAGCCTGAGTAACTGAAGGAATGTCTGCTCTGAAATGTCCTTTGTTGGCTCCATCATGGGCCGGCTCACCAGCACCTCAGGCCTGGGACGATGTGGCAACATGGCTGTGTGGCGGGCTGCGTATGATTAGGGTAAACATAGGCCTGCAGGCAAAATGGGTAACAGCAGGCAGCCCGGCTTCTGTGCCATTAATGATCCTTTCACTAAGGAGACCTCAGTAAGCTTCCACGCTTGGGTTTATGAGCAAAAATGGTTTGGTAGCTTCTGTTTACTCACTTGAGGGTGCATAATCTTACCTTCTTTAACTTGCATGAGTTCTCAAAAGAAAGAACAAATTTAAAACAAATAAAACTTAAACATCTAAGCCAGTAGCAAATGAGCAGTGTTATCTCAGGAGGGAGAACAAAACAAGGCCAGTGACACTGCATTGTCTTGCTGGGAGAGTCACAGCTTCCCCACGAGCAAAGGCCATCTAAATGGGCCAAGCTCTTGGCAGGACATTTTCCAGAATGAGCAATGCCTGGCCTGCTGTTGTGCATTCTCTTTTCCAAGAGTATTTGAAAAGATAGTCTTGGTTCATACATTCACCACTCCGTGTTGCAAGAAATTTCTGAATGCCTGTAACAGCTGCCTTCTCTTTTCATCCACGGCTAGCGATCTGTGTTGCTCACTGGGACCCCTAACACTCTGGAGAGTGGGGAGGACCCAATGAAAGCCCTGTTTTCTCTTCCCCCCCTTTCTCCAGGTTCAGTAGTTCACACACTCTGCACCTTCAGTTCAGAGTAAAACCAACAGCCGGTGCTGTTCCTTCAGACCATAACATCTGAGCACTGTTGTGTGAAAGGATAGATGGAGAGCAGAAGCGAAGACTCTTTCCTTCCTCAGAGTGTGGGGTTGGGACTCGGGGGCGGAGGGGAGGAGGACATGGCTGGATCTAGGAGCTTTTCGATGCAGCCGCTGAGAAGCTTCCTTCTCTAGCAGGGCTATCAAACCTCTTTCCACCTGAGGCCTGCTTTTCATTTTGCAGAAACTCTCAGGTGCCGTTTTCCAATGGTGGGCTTGGGCCATAGGGGCAAATACTGAGACTGCAAATCCACTAACTTAAAGCTCTTACCACCAGTAAATTAAGAGTAGCGTTGCAAACTGTTAGAATGGACAGGTGGGAGGAAAAATACACAAACATACCCGATTATTGTAAGACGTCCCGAGATGTTTGTAGGGGACGAGAAAGAAAAGCTTTTAATTAATTAATTAATCAATCATCAGTGTTCTAGGGAGAGGAAATAGAACCAAGGGAATGAGGCATGGTTTTCTGGAGAGCCCCAGATTTGGTCCCCAGGTGAGCTCGATTTGGCCTGTGGACCTGAGGTTCAGCACTAATTCCTTCTAGAGGGCAGGCAGTTAATTCATCACCTGGCCTGCAGATACACATCAATCAGCTCGCTCGGTGTTGACGAGCCTTCAAATAAGAATGAGTGGGCCGGCAGACTAGATGAAAGAGCATCAAGGGGACTTACTGGCTGTCTCACAGTACAGTTGGATCTGCCCCAGGGAGAGTGAGGCTGTGCAGTGGTAAGGAGGTGTTCGTCAGTGTTCTGATATTCGTTCTTCCTCTCTTTTGCAACTTGCCCCTTGTCTTCTGCATTTTGCAGAAGGAGCTCTTGAAAGAGCAGCAGATTTATCAGGCGTACCTGGCTCAGCAGATGGAGGAAGACAAGCGCCTGGAGAAAGAAATGGACAAGCTGCGGGCAGAGGAGGCAGCAAAGATGTGGGCCAAGCGGGCCGCGAAGGAGAAGGCCCTGAAAGAAGCCAGAGACCGCTTGCTGACAGAGGTCCTGGATACAAGGCGGCTTCAAATCGAGGAGAAACGTAAGGGGCTGCTGGGGATGTTTGTTATTTGTAGATCCAACATCGGTCCATCTTAAGGAGCACCAAGACTGTGATGCTAAGCAGGGCCCTTTGCAGAATGGACTGGGGAAACAAAGCCAAAATCCTGTACCAAGAAAAGCTAAATGCTGCAGCCTGGGTTGGTCATGAAGAGTAGCCCATGTCTGGATCAGGGAAGGGATGGAAAAGCCGGCATTGCCCAATGATTTGGACTACAGCTCTCATCATTCCTGACCGCTGCTGGCGCCTGTTTATGGGAGTTGCAGTCCAAAATTGCTGTGAAAAGTTACCGAAAAGGCCGAAAAGCTTTTTCTGCACCTTCTCCCCTACCCATGTTCCAGACACTGCTTGAGTGCTATTTCATGAGGCCTAGAAATTATGCAAAAGGATCCTCAAGTTTTAAAGTGTGTTGTTTCTACACTTGTATGGTGCCATTGTGGCATTCAGCCAGGTTTGCCCTCCCTTCAGTTTGATCAAGAATCACCTTCAAACCCTGAATCAGGCCAGCTCTTACCATATACCCATTTTGATAATACGTACAAAGGATGCTCCAGAAGGCATTTTGTGACTGAAAGCCAGTGTTATACAATGGGCTAGAGCATCAAATGGGGACCAAAGAAATAGGGTTCAAATCCTCATTTCAGCCACAAAGTGCACTGGATAGCTTCCTCCCCTAGCCTACCTTACAGGATTGTTGTGAGGATAAAATAGAGGGGAATGGTATATATGTTGCCCTGTCTTCCTTGGGAGAAAGTAGGGTACCACATTTATATTGCAATCTGAGAGGGAGAGCGAGCGTGCATACCTACATGCGCATGCGCACACAATCATTGTAATAAAACAAAAATAGCAGTGGAAACAGGGTGGAACTGCTCAGAAGAGGTTGTTCCGATGTGCATTTAACTACCTTTCACCCTTACACTCCCAGTGCAGAGAAATGCCCATGAGCAAGAAGCACTTCTTCGGGACAAGGAATTGTTAAAAGAAGCCACCCTGGAATACAACCGTCTAGAAGAGGAAAAATACACAAGGTAATATCACTGTGTCAGGTCAGCAGAGTTAACCCTTCCGAATGGTGCTGCTTCGTAGCATGGCTGCCTGCTGCCCTTGCTGATCCCCGTGGGGTCCTGTGTCCACACGTTCCCAGTTGCAGGAGTGGGGTTCCGCTTCGTGCCGGGCATTCGGGCCTGGAGCCCCAAGGAGCCATGCCTGTAAGAGTCCCAGGAAAAGAACTCTGCATTCTGCCGACGTCCCACGTGGGCCCTGCAGACGAGCTTCTTGTGCTAAATGCCGCCACGCCCCTTCTCCCTGTCTTCCCTAACCAGACTCCTCCTGTCCCCCCAGCGTGTGCCGTGAGTGCGCACTATGTGAGGCCAGAGAGAAGGAGCGCCGATTTGCATCCGTGTCACCAGGGCAACATTCTGCTGGGGAGGGTTTCTGTCCTGGGTGTGGGCCAGTCACTTTTGCTATGATCTGCCATGGCCGTGTGCATAGGGATGGGGTGCGGGCAACAGCAGGAGAGTTTCTGGTGCCAGACCTGGAGCTGAGGCAACGCTACGCCGCTGAGAGCACGGCCGTGATCTGGAGGGGAGCTGGATATGGCATGGGTGCTTTTCTGCCCTCTTCCTGCCCAGGGCGCAGCCACATTTTACCCCTTTTGCTGGCACTTCTGTGCCTGGGCAGCGGCTGTCCTGGCAGAGCGCCCTGCCAGCGGACCCAAGGAGCTGCTCTGGTAGTCTGCTGGGGTGACATTGTACCGTGCATCGCACCAGCCTAGCAGGGCTTCCACCCTCTGATGGGAATGCTGCACCAAGACATTTATTTATTTCAGCCACCAAAGCACAGTACAGGGATCAAAGCAGTCAACACCATAACATTTTAAAAAGAGAACATAGAAATAGTAAAAACAGAAACACCCCTCCCCTAGTAAAGCATCAAAACTACATATCTTTAAAGGTGAAGTTAAGAAGATCTGTCTTCCTTCATACCTTTTCTAAAAAAAGAGAGAGATCGGGGCCAATCATCATTTTGGAAGGAGCATATTCCAGAGTTTGTGGGCAATGCAGGAGAAAGCCCTCTCTTGTGTCCCCATCAAGCAAGCATCTGCGGCTAAAGGTGCCCTCAGAAGGGCATGCCCTACAGATATTGATAGCCAGATGGGTTCATAGCAAGGCAATTGCTCCCTTAGATATCCAGGTCTAATGCTGGATATTGTCAGCTGCATTCAAAGAACACAAAAAGCAACCCTGCATTTTTTTTATCACGGCTCATGTTTTATACCATGATCTACCCAACATGGTTCATTTTCCTTGTTTCCCCTCCAAATTCCCACAAAACAAACAAACTCTCTGAAATTGTTTAAACTCAAAAGCAAAACTGGAGGGCCACATCCTGCTTGCCTCAAGAACTTAAAAACAATTGTGAGTAGTGAAGGATGAGGAAGTGTTAAATGCCTTGCGTAGAAAAAAACCCCTCTTGGAAATCACCTGCATCCCCATTGTGCCCCTTGAGTTCCAAAGACTGAAGACAGTGGGAAAGAAAGAACAAACAAACCTCTGTGCAGCCCTCTGCTCTCGTTCGTGCCTCAAAGAGCCCTTTCAGGGGAATATATCTGATATACTATAAGTCATTTTTGAAGTTGCCTGCAGGACCGGAAGATTGCCAGGTGCTATTCTGAACTCTGTCATGGCAGTTCGACATGACAACAGAGGGCAGACCTTCAAGGGCAGTTGCTTGAAGGTTTGGCTGATTTAAGCAGACACATGGCACATTTCCACAGCTTTTCTTGTCTTCTTCTGAAAGGCTTCTTAATAAAGGAAGGTGTCTGCAGTTTGGGACCTAACTGGCCATCAACTGCTGCCTTATTATAAGAAAGGTAGAGAGTTAAATTGATTGGTATTGTTGGATGGACTTCTTCAATACCAGTTTTGTTTTGTGTTTAAAGAGACGCAGCCCTCTTCATCTCAGCAGTCTGATGCAACTCAGGCCTTTTACAGCAGCTTATTTCATGGCTCTCTCTCGGGTACTCTAGTGCTGTTTACACTTCTCTTTAATGGAGTCCTTTATTTGGGCTCTGTTGAGAGGGAATCTTCTCCAGAAGGGTGAGCAGCTTCATCAAGATACTCACACGCTTTGTCATGCTCCTTGTTTCAATGGCAGTCATCATCAAGGAATGTTTGAAATAGCAGGGAACTATGCTACTTCATGAGTAAACGTTTCCATCCATCCATCCATCCCACTTTTATGTTGTATTTTGGCAAGAAACTCCCACAGTTTGCTGAACCCTCTCATGGGCTCCTTCTGCCCACCTCTGACTTCCTGCCACCCACCTTGGTCTCATCTTTAGAGTGTCAGGGGTGAGCTGCAGCAATCTGAGCAGGGTGTCCACCACTTTGATTACCCACAGTGCTCCCAACACTGTCACACCAGGGCATTATGGTAAATCAAAATGGGGTCTAGATTTGGCCTGCAGTGCTACATTGGGGCATTGTGGGTAATGAAAAGTTGCAAACCCAAATTCAGGAAGCCAGGGCTGGCAGCCGACTCTTCGTGGAGCCATGGTGGCCTGGTCCCTGCCGAAGAATGCCACATTTATTTTATTACTATGATATCGCACCATTGCAACCGAGAGCACAAAGTGGCAAACTTGGGTTGACCAGACCTGGACCTGCTTAACTTTAGCTCAAGTCTCACTCCTTGGAAAACTTGTCAGTGCTGTTTCTGGTGGTATTGAGATGCATCCCGTCTTATGGTGTTTCCTGCAGGCGTTTAGTGGAACTGAAGGAATATCGGGAGGTGCTCAGCGCTCAGATAGATCACCTCAAGCAAGCTCGTGAAGCTGCGAAGGAGGAGGAGCGCCGTGACTATGAGCTGGCTCTGGAAGCAGAAAGACTTTACCAGCAGAAGATGGCAGATATCCTTTCCAGACCTTATATGAGGCTAAAAGATCTCCACCCTTTACGAAGGCAACTAGCCTGTAGTTCTCAATCTTAGTGCTGATTTTCTTAAAATATATATGCATTTGTAATTCATTGCATTAAAACTCTAGATTGACAGTTACAACATACTTTGCTCTTGTGTGTTGACTGATAGGAAAGCAGACATGTTTTTCCACTTTTATCTTTGCTCAAGCAGAAACTTCTTTTCTCCTTTTCCTTTTTTGTTTGAATGCTGTTAAACTGTAACTTTAAATAAAGAATATTTCAAAATGTTAAGGAACAAAATTGGAAGTAAAACTTAAAGCAGTACCTATAGGCATTGCTACTCCAAGTTATTTATATTTAAAAAAAAACCTAGCTCATGCTCAAAAGCTCCACATTCAGCATTTTTAATTGCTTGTGCTCTCTCTCTCTCTCTCTCTCTCTCCCCCCCACACACACACATACGCACACGCACACATGCACACACACACATGTTAGGGCCAACTTACAGTCTGCCAGTGTGTTCATGCTCAGGACAAGGACTGCTACATTAGTGAATGGATCCTCAGAAATTAGGCAGGGGAAGCTTTGGGACAAGTTTTGGATTAAGCTTTTCTTAATCTCTGTGGCCCCATTGCAGGAATGCTCTCAGTTTGGGACAAGTGATTGAATTATGCACCAAAGCCAGTTCAGCTACTCAAAATTCTTTCTTACAAATCAGCTTGTTTTCACAGCAACTCAGAGAAAGCAGGAATGTATTGTGGTGGAATGTTCAAACTACCACACCATTGCACTAATTTCACATGCTAGCAAAGTTATGCTCGAAATCCTACAAGCTAGGCTCCAGCAGTATGTGGATCAAGAACTACAGGCAGGATTTCGAAGAGGGAGAAGAACTAGAGATCAAATTGCCAACATACACTGGATCATGGAGAAAGCTAGGGAGTTCCAGAAAAACATCCTCTTCATTGACTATGCTAAAGCCTTTGATTGTGTGGATCACAACAAATTTTGGCAAGTTCTTAAAGAGATGGGAGTACCAGACCGTCTGTTTGTCTCTTGAGAAACCTATATGCAGGTCAAGAAGCAACAGTGAGAACTGGACACGGAACCACTGATTGGTTCAAAATTGAGAAAGGAGTTCAGCAAGGCTATATACTGTCGCCCTGCCTATTTAACTTATATGCAGAGCACATCATGAGAAAGGTGGGGCTAGATGAATCACCAGTTGGAATTAAGATTGCTGGGAGAAATATCAACAACCTCAGATATGCAGATGATAACACTCTCATGGCAGAAAGTGAAGAACTAAAGAGCCTCTTGATGTGGGTGAAGGAGGAGAGCACAAAAGTTGGCTTGAAACTCAACATTAAGAAAACTAAGATCATGGCATCCAGTCCTCTCACTTCCTGGCAAATAGATGGGGAAGAAATGGAGGTAGTGACAGATTTTATTTTCCTGGGCTCCAAGATCACTGCAGACAGGCACTGCAGCCAAGAAATTAAAAGACACTTGCTCCTGGGGAGGAAAGCTATGGCAAATCTAGACAGCATACTAAAAAGCAGAGACATCACCATGCCAACAAAAGTGTGTATAGTCAAGGCTATGGTTTTCCCAGTTGCAATGTATTGCTGTGAAAGTTGGACCATAAGGAAGGCTGAGCCACGAAGAATTGAGGCCTTTGAATTATGGTGCTGGAGGAGACTCCTGCGAGTCCCTTGGACCGCAAGGTGGTCAAACCGGTCAGTCCTAGAGGAGATCAACCCTGACTGCTCTTTAGAAGGCCAGATCCTGAAGATGAAGCTCAAATACTTTGACCACCAAATGAGAAGGAAGGACTCCCTGGAGAAGAGCCTAATGCTGGGAACAATAGATGGCAAAAGAAGAAAGGGACGGCAGAGGATGAGGTGGCTAGATGGAGTCACTGAAGCAGTCGGTGTGAACTCAAGTGGACTCCGGGGGATGGTGGAGGACAGGAAGGCCTGGAAGAATGTTGTCCATGGGGTCGCGATGGGTCGGACACAACTTCGTGACTAACAACAACAACAAATTGCGGTGGAGCCTTATTTTAAAACATTCCTGGAACACCTCTAAATTTGTACCCAGCGTCTCAGGCCATTTTGTGCATGATTTTCATGGTAACACTAATGATTTTTTCCTCTCTAATCCAATGATTCCCCTCCACCTTCATCTCATTCATTCTTGCAGCAAGTTGGATGAGTTACATCCATTATAAGATAGTTCTGAGTCAGGGCTTGCCCATGCTTCAAAATCCTAAGTAGCAGTGATTAATCTGCTTTCCATAGAACAATATATCAGCAGGTCTTTCATATTTAATAGCTAGGTGTATGTACTTCATGTTACAAGATCTCTTGGCCGCTTTACAATATGTGTGGTGTCTAACAGCCAAAATCTAGGCCTGATCATCAGAAGCAAAGAGCTGTTTTCACATTTTTCTTTCCTATTTCAGTGCCAGTTTCAGTGACGCACCTGAACCAAAACAGCTTCAAAAAACAAGTGTGCCCTGAACTCACAGCCTCAGTATTAAGTATCATGGGTCCTTGCTAATTAATCTATGAAAGATGCAAATCAGGAGTGGCAGATCTGCATTTACTGGTAGATGGGAACATAGAAGCCTGCCTTGCAGTGGGTCACTGAACTGGTCAATCCGACCGGCAGGGGTTCTCCCAGGTTCCAGGTGGATTTTTCCTGCCCTGCCTGGAGATGCTGGGGCTCAAACCTCCTTCACGCAAAGCAGGAGCTCCACCATTGTTCTACAGACCCTCTCTTATCTCTGGGAATTTGCAGGAGAGAGTAAGGGTTTCTGATTCCCAACTGTTAAGCAACAACTGCCTTAATTCATACTGCCAAAATGAAGAGAGCTAGGAGTAAACATGAGTGGGCGTTTGTGTGGATGAGCTGTAAGCTCTGTTCACTTCTGAGACTCAAATTCCTGGGCTCAGAATTCTTTAAATCTGAAGTGTGCATTTTTTGGTGGATCCTAGTTTATAGTGTACTAAAGATTAATTGGTCCTGCAATCTCCACTCCTGTTGTAAATTTAACAGCTGCTGGATCGGAGGTCAGGGACCAGAAGTTATTTTAGCAAGCCCTTGAGCTAATACAGTGAAATATAGGCATAATAATAAATATATAAATATTTAGACACAAAAAGAGAGTCCTGTAACTTCCATGCTAGGAGTTGTGGCATTTTTTCCCCTGTCTGGACACACACAGGATTGCAGCCTTGGTAAATCTAGGCCACTGTTAGATTTAGATCTCTGCACCAGTACAGCTTCTTCACTGTCCTAGTCAGTGGTCTTTCTCAGCTGCCCTACTGAAGAGCTTTTTGGCTGGAGCTGTTGGGAGCTGAGCTTGGGTCTGTGAGCATGCAAGGTGCATACTGTGTCACAGAGCCCTGGTCCCTCTCTGCCGCCCTCTGTTGTCATGTGCCATCAAGTCACCTTTGACTTATGGCAGCCCTAAAATGACCTATCCATGACAGCCCTTCTCAACTCTTGTAGATTTAAGGCTGTGGCTTCCTTTACAGAGTTAATCCATCTCATAGCTAGTCATCTTCCTCTTCTGCTCCGACTTCACCTGGCATGATTGTCTTCTCCAGCGAGTCTTGCCTTTTCATGACATCCCCACAGTATGGCAGCCTCATACTAGGGAAAGCTCTAGGTTTATTTGATCTAGGGCCCACTTCCTCATCCTTCTATCAGTACAAGGTATTCAAAAAGCATTCCCGCAGCACCCTTTTTCAACTGTATCTAGTTTCTTCCTCCATTCCTCTAGCCTACTTTTAATTAAACATTGTCTCTTCAATAACGGTTTTTAAGTGCTGTTATTTTAATAACTTGCTTTTTAGAGTGCTTATTTTCTAACAATGAAACTGCTTTGATTACAGTCTCTGCAGAAAGGTTGGATATCAACGTTGCTGCTGCTGTATAAATAAGGCGGGCTCCCACTGTCCCCTTGGCAACAGAAGAGACCTGGCCTGGGATTCCCCGAGTGCGCCAGGCCGGGCTTCGCTTGGCAGCCAAGCCAGAGCTTTGGCAGAGCAACTTGATTCTCCTTCAGACATAGCTGCGCCCCCAGCATTTCAATACCTACACCGCTTTCCTTCCCTGGCTTGCTCCTCTCCCGCTGCCCTTGGCTTACTGATCCTGATGTCGCTGGGCCAGAAGAGAAGCTGGAGGAAGCTCAGCTGGTGCTTGAGGGGTGGGGAACATGTTGCCCTCCAAATATTGCCGGACAGCAGCCCAAGCCAGCATAACTGGTCTTGAGGGAGGATGGGAGTGGCACCCCAACTGCGCCTCGAGGGCAACACGCTCCCCTTCTATCTAGCAGCTCAGAAACTAAGTCAGGACAGAACATTGCAGCAGGTCAGAGAGAAAGCCAAGAAAAACCTAGTGGGTTGTGGAGAAAGCTGTTGTAGCCTGGTTGGACCTCAGATATTTGCGAATATTCCTGCTCCACAAAGCACAGTACTAGTCACTTTACCAAAATGTGGTTTAATTGGTTTTTTACCTCCTCTAATTTTGGTGGTTTCCTGGCCAAAAAAGAGGCAACCAGCAGGTCTCCCCCTCTTCTTCCCTGCCACTGCATGTTGTCTTCTCCCCTAACACCCAAAGGTCCTTGGTGGGGGCCCGACAACGTGACTCCAGGGGCCAACTTTGCTGGTGAGAAGAATATACTGGCTGGCTGACCCCAAGAGTAGTCACTAGTCTAGCTGTGCTTCCTGCACAATTTGCACGGGTCTTGCAAGCTCAGTCCTGCACTTGTTTACTTGGAAGTAGGTCAGTCAATCTGAAGCTGACACTTAGTTTAGACTGGGTGGCAAACCCTTGTTTGGGCTTCAACACTTAAGTTTGACATAAAATCAGTGTGGCTCGCTTTCTGGTGTGGATTCTTTTGCTAAGGAGAGCCATCCTAGTCTCTTTCTGAGTGGAAAGCACAGGAAATGCTCCTGGAATAGGATTAGGATACAATCCCATGCAAACCTGCCTGCTTTACAACTTCCAGCATGTTCCTATGCTGGCTGTTGGCTGGGAGTTGTAGGCCTTTTTACT